ACAACCAATTGGGGAGAGGCAAGTTCCCGGTACGTCTCACAAGACCGTGGAGCAAATACACACACGGGTCGGTGTCGCGGAGCACCTCATCAGAGCACACAATCAACACGCTGAGTAGCCATAATCTGACGAAACATGTTAGCGCGAAGCCAGACAACCAAGCCGCCTCATTGGCTACTGCTGCTGCTTGCTCACTGTTGCTGATGCGGTTCCCTTGTGCCGCCAGCTGCCGTGCGTCCGTGAGCAACGCGGACGAGAACCGCTTCAGCTCGCCGCTCGTCAGGCCGAACATGCCCAGCCTCCGCACCTCCCGCACGGCGAACTTGACGGCGTCCTTCCACTTCGCTGGCTCCGCCGTCATGTCCAGGAAGCAGACGGCGCAACCCTGCCCAGACACAAGACAAGGAGAACAAGAAGAAAAGGGCGTGTCTCGAGAAGAAACAAAATATACTCGTATATACTTCGTGCACATAACAGCAGATAAGGGGGATATATGCCAGGTCCAGTAAGCAGACCGCGCAACCCTGCCGAGACGGGGGAAAAGGAGGCATGTTTTGAGGGGGAAAAAACAGCATCTGGGGGGGGTATGAGTCATGTCCAGGAAGCAGACCGCGCAACCCTGCCAAGACGGGAGATAAGGAGGCGTGCAATAAGAAAAAGCACACCACAAAGGCAATAAGGGGCCCCGTTGGTGTTTCAGAGATGAGATGAAAGGAGAGAAGCAACAAAAGACCGAGACCTCGAGAAAAGCCTCAGACGGGTACGTGCTCCATCTGTAGCATTTTTTGCCGCTTGCCTACTACTACTGCAGAAAAAAAAAGACGGAACAAAACTCGTTTTCGAGAGAAGCCCAAAAGTGTAAGTTGAGGGGGCTACACATTTGTGCCAACAGATATCAAGACATCACCTCTCTGGGAGAATCAAGCTGGTTGAACTCGACGCTGAGGAATGGCGGGTCCTTCCTAGAGTTGACCGATAGCCGGATCTGCAGGGCTGCCAGAGCGATCCTCTTCATGATTGCCCGCCGGAAGTCGCCGAGGGAGGTGATAGGCTCGATGGGCCGCTTGGCGAACACGTGGAGAGAGAAGGCCTGAACCAGAGGATCGGTTGGGGAGGGGGGCGGGGGGGGGGGGGAGCGCGGGGNGGGGGGGGGGGGGGGGGGGGGGGGGGGGGGGGGGTGAGCGCGTGGTAAGTTTTTTTGGTTGAAACAAGATTATCTTCAACAAGAGGATCGGGGGTCGGGAGCGGGGCCGGGAGGGGGACATATACACACATAAGTGTTGTGCTGGTTTGCGTACAGACTTGACCATTGTTGCACACGCTTGCTGAAACGGGAAGGTCTTCGGGCAGACATTGTGCTTGAAAGTTCGAATGAACACAGGAGTGAGTGGCCCGCAACGCTTGGCGCAGGAACATTTCGGCATGGAAGAGCGAGATTCTTGTGTGTCTGGTGACATCGCACACATGTTTTCATGCTTGACATCTCACTGAACTGCGTTCCGCTTCTACCCGTAGAGTACTTACTTTAGTCCGAGGAGAAACTGCCACACTCCGAAGCGCCCCGATTATCCCGTGTCGAAAAAACATATTTTCCCACGTCATTGAAATCAAAATTGGAGCTCTGCACATACCCCAGAAAGCATCCTACTTTCCACCAATGAGAGCTCCAAAATGTTTTGTGCTGTTGCTTCTCTTCGAAAAACCGTCAAATACCCGGCCTAATCAAAACCAACGGGACAAGCGCTTGAACCTGTCGACCGTTCTCCATGACACCCTCGAACCTACCTGGAGGAGGTCGTGCTTGTAGAAGCGAGGGACTCCGAGCGGCTTCCCGTCTACGGGCTCCATGACCGGAAGCGTGTTCCTCTCGGTCACGTGCCCCCCTGACCACTGGTGGGTCACCGGCGGGAACCTGAGGGACTGCCTCTTCAGGTTGGGGGGTTCCTGTCTCGAGAGAACGNGAAAGGACGGGGGTGGGGGCGGGCGAACTCTCATGTGTTGCATGCCTTCATTGTTTGACTATGCGTCCTCCAGAGGACGAGCACTGTTCCCACAGGACAAATCACCGATGGCCAATCGTTCCTTCCGATGGGAGGGGGGGGGGTGTCCTCATAATGCATGCCGTAGTCGTCAGACCATTGACCTCGCATCCCTACAAAGCAGGGACGGAGCTCGCCGGGTTCTCACCGGACCAGGCTCTTACTTCAAGCGCAATGAAGGGGGGGGGGAGGGGACATTCGCTAGGTTGATCAATAGTTCTGTCGACATGACATGATTGCCCACCGGGTAACCGACAGCGGACGCGCAGAAACCCAAGGGTGGCACGAAATCGCAAGTCCCTCCCACGCGAACTCTACATGCACTGCTGCTGTACACACTCGATATCCACGAGAGCAAGACATGTATTTTCGTTTCACGCCGTCATCGATGTCTCTCAGATCAGTTCTCTCACTGTCGTGTCTGGGACGCCTCCGAGATGACCGAACATCTGGCGAATCTGATCTTCGGTCTCGTCGACGTTCAGGTCTCCGATGCAGTACAGCACGGCGTTATCCTGCCCCAAGACAAACATAAAAGGGGGTACGATACAAGTCCATGGCAGTTTCAAAGTAAGGGGACTCATGTGAGTGATGGCAATTGCGTTGGCCTCGTGATGCCCGGTTAAACTCGTGCGCCAGTTCTACTTCGTATAGAAACGCAGGCAATGGTGTCATATAACTTTCGATCCAAGATATGACTACCTACCCTCGTCGCATATACCAATCAGCACCCAGTATGCAGGTTCAACAAATACCCTTGCTTGGTGACAGTAGCAGCATCTTTTTGGGAAATGCATATGTTTTTCACAAGCCTCATGTGTATCAAGCTAACTCGGTTTCTGATTGTGTATAACTTCTACACACAAGAAGCGCGAGGCCATCAACCAACGCTTGTCCTCACATCCTCAACCAGCACCGCCACGACCGGCAACACCAACATGCCAGGGGTTTTGTACTTGAGACTTGGGTCCTTGTACCGACGCGTGAGAGGTGAGAGAGAGAGACTCAACTCAGAGAGGGAGGGTCGGCGTCTCGCATTCTTACCGGGCGGTAGTGCTTCCTGTGGAACTCGAGGACGTCCTTGGTGTTCCAGCCCTTGATCAGCTCCTCCTTGCCGATAGGAAAACGCCTTTACCACCAGAGAGGGAGAGAGAGAGAGAGAGAGAGAGAGAGAGAGGTGAAACCGACGCGCGCTGGCAAGGACTAGCGTCGAGGTCGTACACGAGAAAAGGGGTGAGGGTTGATGTGGACTACGTGATGGTGTACATAGTGCAACAGTGGCCTCTCTCTAGATGTGGCTGGTCGCCCCTGACATTGTGTGACAGATCAAGTATTCGCGTTGTCTCGGAACTCCAGGAAACGCCCAAGAGGGGTACTTCCGCAAAACAGGGACGACACATCTACACCGCATGCAGTCGTGACCACAATGGTGAACCGCGTTCCACAGAAAAACGAAAAGCTTGTGAGTGGTTGTTAGATGGCCTGGAATCATGCCGGTCGATACTGCTGTTGCATAACGGCCGTGCCGCTGCTGCGGCTTTCGTCACAGAACATTCCTATCGATCCATCCTCAAACATTTTTTTTGTCTCCTCTCCCTTCCACTATTTACCTGGACAGCTGATTCTCGGCGTGCAGTGCGGAGAGCACCTGGCACTCCATGCGGTAATCGATCGTGTTGACCATCGTCAGCTCCGAGAGCACGGCGCTGCGCTCCTTCTCGAGACGAGACTCCTCGCACACAGCCTTTAACAAAACAAAAAAACACGTTCGTTTGAGAGGACGACCACGTTCCCACCACCATCAAAAACAAAGTTGTGAGAGTTTTGTACCACACGAGTGGTCGGTCAATGGTTCGAACTTGTGAGGGGTTCGCGCTCACAAGCACCCGGCAAGGTGGTGCACGCCTTCGGTCACAAAAACCTAGCAACACCTTGTGCAAACACACAAGAAACAGGGACACTATAATGAGAACCTCATCGTAGATATATTTTACATGTTTGTATCAAAGATGCAGATCTTCCTTTCCCAACGCGCTACAACTGCTACTTGGGTTGCTAGGCAAGAAGGCTTCCAGGGGTAACCGAAACCCGAGGCTTTGCCCGCGAGATTTCTTACATCATCCTACTTTCATATGTGCATCAATGGTTTCGACACTTCTACGCCAGCCTGAGGGCAACAGATATCACAACACATGGGGGTGACGCGGCATAGCCCACCTCGAGAACGTCGAGCAGCGCTCCAAGAGCGCGCCCGAGCATGGGCGTCGGGCGGCCCCACCCGGGCGGGGTTAGCACCGGGCAAGAAGCGTAGAACACCGTGTGGTGGAAATCCGTGTAAGCATTCGTCGAAGACCCCGTCCCGAACAGCCGCTCCCTGACACAACAATAACCAAGAAAAAAGGGGGGAAAGGGAAGGAAGGGCCACAACGGAGGAAGTTCAACATTGGGTTAGGGCAAGGGTTAAACCAGGGTCAAAAACACTGCGGTCTGAACATTTGAGACATTCACCTTTGTCCCTGCAACGACGAACGGTCGTCCTAATGACCATCAGAAGATGCTTGTCGACTGTGCTCCCGAGCGTACAAGTGGTATGTAACACCCCAGCTTGGCCGTCCTAGACGACATGCACCCCCGCGGCTGCTTCACCGAGCACGAAGGAACGTAAACATCAACTACAGAAAACTTTCGTGTCATTTCATCATCCCGAAATGTACACACACCAATCACAAAATCATTTCTCCCCGCGTTCGGACATTCATCTTTATGTGGGAGGTGGGTGCCATGGGTACAGCAGTGCCTATGCATACCTCTTCCGGCTGCCCATGTAGGCCACGTGCTCAACGAGGTGCGCCATGCCCTGCTGGGACTCGAGCTCGTCCGCCGATCCCGCGAACACCTAGGCCCGATCGTCGTTCACGAAACGACCGAAAACGATAAAACAACCAGCACCAGCAGCAACTTGAGCACTATTTCGCCTCAAAACAAGGTAGACAACGCACCTCTACAGGTGGTGGTATGTATTCTTTTCACGCTTCACTTCAATCTCCATGTTTGTGACAACGCCGCCTAACGCAAGAATCAGGTCAAGACTGGAACTGCGTAGGTCTCTACTGTCGTGGGGCCTGGGCCTCTCTTGTTGTGATATGCTTGCACCTTACGGCGCCCACTTTCGACACCGTGTGCCAAAAGAAAACACCAACAATTTAGTGTACTTGAAAAAAGGTTGCGGAATAGGGAGATATAGACTCCATGCAACGCAGGGGCTAGTTGCACGTCCGCTATGAATTTATTTTTGCCACACGCACCGGTCTGCTCTTTCACAAAACACGCCAGCCCCAGAACTGCTCCAACAAACAAACAGCACCGGACACGGAAAAAAAAAAAAACACGTCCAACAACCACAAAAAATGTTCAAAATTTCTTGCGCCCGCTGCCGCTGCTCTCTCTCTATCCTTCTTGCTGCTCTTAAAAAAAAAAAAAAGGTTCTCTCTCACCTCAAGGTGCGCCTCGAACCTCTCCGGAGGGCTCTGGTTGTTCAGGATGATGTAACGCAGCCCGTTGGGCAGCATGCCTTCGCGCATCTGCGGGTGCGTGGGCAGCTCCGAGGACATCACCCCCTGCATCTTGCTCCTGCCCTCCGCCGCCACCACCTCATCCTGGGCCCCGCGGGCGTCCACCGCTTCCATGACGGCTCCCAGCGACGGGAGCTGGGTCCCCGTCTCTCCCCCTCTTCCCCCCCGCACGAGGGCCTTGAGCCCCCGCGCAAGCCACGGCGCACCCGCACCGATCCCTGCAAAATAATAATTATACAAACAACAACAGTCGACAGTTTTTGTCTCGTTAAAAGTAGGAGTACTGAAACGTGAGTGCGAACAGAGCAGCATGGGGGTAGGAACTCCAACCCTTTTGTGCAGCGATAATTACGACGACTCTCAAATGTTTCAATCAACTACAGCAACTTCACCCAAACCTCGAAACTCTCGACTATGCATGGTCTATTCTGGAGAACCGTGCTGCGTGCAAAACGCGCCAATCGGCCTCCATGTTGGTCCGGAATCGGCGCAGATGACCATCATGTATCACTTCGGTAAAAACGACGAACCAAAAGGGGGAGATGAATGCCATCCTTCTCCACCCAACAATCGGCTGCTGCCGGCATGATGCGACAGACCAGCGCTAACAGCGCGCACCTTTCCCTAGGCCCCCCGCACCACCGCCGCCCGCCCCAGCCTCCGCGGAAGAACTGGCGGCGTCGCCGCCAACGGCGGCACCCAGCCCGGTTGAGCTAGGAGTAGCCCCAGTCGCCGACGACGGGAGGAACGATCCCCGGAACGGTCTCCCTCGCGAAAAAAGGGACGGCGATGACGCGTCCCCTGCTCCAGGGTCACCGCCGCCAGCACCAGCAGTCGACGACGACATCGAGGCGGCCTTGGAAGATCGCCAACCCCGGAACACGCTCGGTCCCCTCGCCGCCGACCCCACCCCCCCGGACCCCGTGCCGCATGTCGCGGTGCCCCTGCTGTCGGCAAGGTTGTTGCACGCGCGAGAGGGGTCGGTAGAAGCGCGATTTCGCGGGCCTCCTGTTGTGGACGAAAGCCAAGGGTTTCCGGCCACCTGGAAGGCGGTAGCCGACGACGGTGTCGCGCTGGCCGCATGATCACCTGCTGTAGAGAGATAATTGACGGATTTGCGTGCGCGCCCGCGGGGTGGGTGGGTCGGTGGCGGGCGCATCCGTGTACGAAGAGGACCAGAACCACTACAGTGGTTATGCGGAGATTGCATGCATGGTTGTTGTTGGGGGCTGCGTGTGGCCGTTGCCGCATCATTTTGTTGGCATGCTTTCACACACAAAACATATGCACAACTGCCTGTTGTGTATCTCCAAAACCTACCTGTGCGTCCAAACAACCGCCTTATCCGGTTCGAAAGGCACGACACACGACACGACGGCGGGATGTCCCACGCCACACACGGCACAGCAGTCAGAGGCCGTGAGAGGAAACCCGAACAAAAAACACGACACACGGGACACTCTCCTTGTAATTTGGATTCGCCGAGCTCGACCTTCAGTTGGCGTAGCTCTTAAGAGATATCCGCATACACCGCGATGTGAGAGTGTTCCTCTCACAAAGGGAGCGGCGTGCTATTCGCGCACGACAAAGGAGGAATTCTCCCCAACCTCTTGCGTAGGCGGCATGCCTACACCATGTCGGGCGCACACAAGGATAAATCATACTTCAGGGTTGCACCTGAGGCAGGAGCGGGCAGTGCCCTGAAAAAAACTCCCCCAACCTACCATTCCTCCGGCTCCCCCGCTTGATGCATCACGATGCCCGGCTGGATGCATCATGGCGGCCCTTCTACGCCCAAGATCTCGCATCTCTAGAAGGTGACTTCGTATTTAGTGAACCGGCTGGAATAACGGAGTCTTGTATCATTTGTGCTAGAAAAACACGGGGGAGATGTCGCTGTATGCTGCTCGGGAAATCATGGAAACACAGGTAGCCTTCACTGACGCCATGGATTCATTGCTAATCTGTCTTAGACTCTTTAGATGGATTCGTTGTGACATATTAAGAATAAAAAAAAAAAGAGGAGACTCAAAATAAATCCGGTTTTCCAACATCGAAAATCTTTCGCTGCTGCTGTTGTCAACACATCCGTTGAACTGATCCGATGTGCAGCGTTTGTCTGGAAATGGCGAACCCGTAAGTGTTTGTGTGCGTATTGTAAATTGTTTTCGTCACATCTTGTCTGCTGTGGGCACCAGTCTAGACTACCGCATCTCTTGGGACACGATTTGCGTGTTGCTTAGAGCACCAACCGCTGAACAGGACAACCAAACTGACGGACGGAGCCATGTCTGTGTGTCTCGCTCGATGTGCTGAATCTTCTGCTGTCCCAAACGCTCTCCGAGTTGAAACGAAAAAACTGACAGGTAAATGGGATGGAGATTGCCGGAAAGATCCGCTGGTGGGACTTGGGACTAGCAGTAGCGCCAGCAGCTGGTGCACGATATATACCAGGCCCCGGACAAGGAAAAACACGAGAAGATACTTACTCCGTATTTCATCGAATTTAAAATCTGTGTTTGAAGTCACCAAACGGGCGGGGCGAATGAGGATGAAATACATTACATCAACCACCGTCGTTGCCTCACACGCTACGGGTGCCATAGGCCGCGTGCGAGCACGTACCGACCGCATGCATTCCGCTTGGCTTCAGAGCCCTCCGGGGAGCTACGCACGGCAGCAGGTATATACAGCCGCTGTGATGCAACGAGAACTCAAAGCGAAACATTGGGTACATCCACTTCGCTTCACCACCATCTAATACAAACAACGTGCCGCTGCCACCTAGTTCGCTTGTTTCCTTCCTTCGATACCCTGAGGGCTCATGAGACAGAGATGTTTTCAAGCCAACAAACGCACTGTACGATACGCTCAATCAAGGTGCAGAGGCTTCTTCCGCCCCTTCATACGCCACCGACTCCCACCTATCTTGGCAGCAGAAGAGATAGGACCACCGGCGGCACCATGCGTCGTCGAGGCGGCAGCCCTGCATACCCCAACGCCTCCTACCACGAGCGCCAAAGCTGCTGCCAGCTCCCCTCCTCTACGGCCCATCCTTCTCTTCCTCTCCTTGATGTCCCGGGAGGTGGTCATGGCCGGCAGATAGATACTGCAAGATCTACCCCTTTTAGGCTTTGACCAACCCCTTTGCTCTCCCTTTATCTCGGTCTCTACGCCAAGCTTTGTGTTGACGTGGTGCCACCAAACACACAGCATCGGGCTTGCCTCGGCAACAAGGGGTACCCATGGTTTGCTTTCTTCATTTCACGGGGCCACGGCTGCGCACCTGGACAAGGAAATCCTGTTCATTGTTGTGCACCACAGCAACGAGGAGCTGGTGTATCAGGTAAGAAGAGGGAGAGCAAGTCATTCCCTGAATGTCTTGTTGCTTGGCCATCAGGTATTGGGGGTGCTTGATTGCCCTCTCCTTTTCCACGCACAAAGAAACATGGATTTCATTTTCAAAATTTTGCCAAGAGACCGAGTTGCAGCAACGCCACACCGCGGTTGCATATTGATTGGGGTTGGAGTATAGCGTCCAACCGCCCAACCTGTTCTTTCTCGATCGGTGTCCTCCCTCGTTCTCAGCGTCATTACCCTCGTCTCTTTGCAAAGCGAAAGGGAATGTAACAATTATACACACGTGATGGAGTACAGCGGTCATTAGATACATCTAAAAACATGGTGCAGGTTTCAAAATTCACGGGCGGATTCAAATTACGGCTACACATGAGAGAGGCCAGGTAAGCCATATTAACGAATTCGTTGCTCGTGCACCCACCGCCCGCAGTAGTCTCAAAGTTGTTGTCTACCGTACGTATCGACACGCCTGTTACAGCCTCGAAGCACCGACACTTCTGGTCCAAGGTTCCGGGCGTGTCGTTGTTTGCAACACAATCTCACAGCTTTGTTAGGTGGCCCATTATTTACCGATCGATCCCCCCGCCGGCTGTCGACTCGACTGCTGCCGTGGCTCTTTTTTAGGAAGGAAACATACACTCACAGAAAGACTACGCTGCCCGTTCGAGATAATAATAATACCACAGCAGTCGAAAGGGATGTGTTGACTACAGCACTTGTACTTAGTATGCTGTCGACTGGTGTTGACGCAGTGTTGCACTCGCACACCCGTTTGACTTTGCTGTAACGAAAGCGCGCGCCACCGAAACACGCATGAAGGGAGAGAGGTGAAGAGAGGATTGACGTCCCTTGCGCTCCAAAAGGCACAGGCTCTACACGGCGGCTCGTAGTTGAACTACACAACAGTACATGCAACCCGTGCCGATCAAGATGTGCTGAATAGCCTTACAGCAGTACATGGTGCATGGTAAGTTTGAGTACAGAATCACCTCTGCCGTGAACCAGACACACAGCATTTGCTCGAGAATGTGCCCCCAGGCTCACCTCCAAGTCAAGTGGCCCTGACTGGCCACGGGGGTGTTACAGCCATGTGCACAAGGGGAGGGGTAACAAGGGCGGAGACATTGTAGAACGACGCGTTCTCGACAACAAACAGATCCCCCATGCACCAGGCTAACCGCCGCCGCCGCCGCCGCCGCCGCCGCGGCCCCTTTAAAACTTGTAAGGCTCATTGGCCCGTTACTACAAGGCGGCCGCACCAGAGAGGGAACGATCTCAGTCTGCACAACGAGGGAGGAAGAACAGAGAGACAGGTGAAGCGCACGAGATACACAAGAAACAGGCTTGTATCTACAGTCCGAGAGAGGATGACCGGGAGGGGTCGCAGCAGTCGGGTGCGGAGGAAGCCCCAGACGGTTTACGACACCGCCCCCCTGGCGTCCGAGGAGCAGCTGTCTCAGCAGGTGAGCTCTCAGTCGGCAGGCAGCATGCAGAGGTCTTGATAACGTTGTTGTTGATGATCGGCGTGTCGTGTTTTGTTTATACCAGTGCACCAGCACGAGAGAAATAGCCCAAACCAGCCCCCCCCCCCCCCCCNNNNCCCCCCCCCCCCCGCGACAAGTCACACCATGGTTATGTGACCAGTTTGCGGGCGTATCGGGAAAAGTGGTGGCGTGGAAGTGAAAGCAAACCAAGAGATCTCCTGGGCTACGTGATGTTAGCCTGCCGTTTGCGCACGTGTGGGTACGTGCTATCCTTCGCCGGGGCCCCCCGTCGAGGCAGCAGATCAGGGCACGCCGAACAATAATATCACCGTCCGCCTTCTCTGCGTTTTTTCTTGGGGTTGGGGTTGGGTGGATTATCAGAAAAGACGTGATGGTGCCTAGCAAAATGTAGCGGACGACAGAAATAGACAGGCAGGCTTAAGAGGCATCGAGAGAGAGAGAGAGAGAGAGAGAGAGAGAGAGAGAGAGAGAG